GAAAAAAGAAAAAAAAATTTTAAGTTTTATTTTTCATAATATTTTTTTATATTATTATTTTTTTCACATCATCATTTTTTTGCCATATTACCTTCCATGTGTATTAATATTTACCATGTCATCTTTTAATCGTGAAGTAACAGGCACCTAGGTGGGTTTGAAGGAACCCAGGTTTGCTGGGTTCCAAGGGGAAAAAGAAGGGAAAGGGGAAGGAGAAAGAGAAAGAGAAAGGGAAAGGGAAAGGAAAAAGAAAAAACAAAAAAAACAAAAAAAAACAAAAAAAATTTTAAGTTTTATTTTTCATAATATTTTTTTTATTATTATTTTTTTCACATCATCATTTTTTTGCCATATTACCTTCCATGTGTATTAATATTTACCATGTCATCTTTTAATCATGAAGTAACAGGTCACGTTACAAAATTTTTAACAGAATGACCAAATCGGGGTAAAAATGATAAACAGTAAAGATTAAATCGTGGATTTTTTTAGTTTAGGGACCAAATTGGGGGTCCGTACAATAATTTAGGGACCAAAATGGGATTTTAACCTATTTTATATATGTCAATTTTTATTTATTTATTTTAGGATACAAAAATTTTTTGAATTTTGTCTTAAAACAATATTTTTTTATTATTTAAGAAAAAAAATATATTTTTAAGAACTATTTTAAAAGTACACCTCTCACATTGAACTAGTGCATTTAAGAAATTTATATTTGTATATTATATATGAATTAAAGTATATGTTTTGCAATATGTATAATTATATTTTAATTTGTATTAAAAGTTTATAATATTTAATAAATATGAGTATAACTGTAAGTATACATGTACTTAATAAGTTGAATAATAAGAATAGACTTTTAATACTTAAATAAACAGCGAGTATTAAAATTTTATATTTATTAACTTTCAATTTAAATATAAATATAGACAAATGCTTTACCTATGTACTTACTTAGCTTATTTATGCACATAAATAGAATAACAAATTATGAGTTCACCTTACATCATCCAAACTTACAGTTAGAGAATATTAGTAGGCATTATGAATTTTTTTTTCTAATTATAATTTTTTTGAACCTTAATAAAATTCAAAACTTTTTATATATTTCCTTTTAAAAAAATTAAATTTATTTGATTACCTATATAGTTTTGAAAAATATCTTTTTAATTAACTTAACTAAAAAGTTAATAAAAATGGAGAAATAAACATGGCCAATAGTTTTGGAACCATTTATCTTGTGAATTTTTATATTGTACTCTTATAACAGTGTAGTGCCCTAGTCTTTTAAAGGAGACTAGCTCAACCACCCCTCTCCGCCGGGCGTAGTGGATGGTAGATCCCTTGCTTAGATGACAAAATCTTATAGAGAACCTATTGAGTTGCAAGTAGAGAATCACATCCCAGTTGTTAGAGGGCATGTTGGAAAATTAATATCATATTCATCTGCTTTGGGTGGTTCGATTTTATTAATTTGATATTAAGAACAATTGTAAGATTAGTTCATTTTGAGTAAAAGCAACAAAAAATTACCGATTTATTTTCAGATAAAAACTTGCAATAGTGTTCTTATTAAGTTTCTCTTTCTAAAAGCCCAATCAAGAGCCATTGACACCATTTTATTCTTCCTTGTTAATAATGGCATAGAAAGTCAACAATTATGTTGAAGTAACATAGAAAAAGTATACATAATATAATTTGAAACACAAAAAGAGAAGTCTTTCGTTGATCAATGATACTAAAATTTTTCACACTCATGTCCTCAAATTGCAAATCCAAAGCCTAATAACTTATGATAAGAAAATTAATATAAAATTTATAACGTAGTGCATTTAAAGTTCAATTGCAGTTAAAAATTTTTTTTACTCACTGTCGCTGCTAGGGTTCTCCTTCTCCGACGTGCGCCTCTCACCTCGGTGCCCTTCCTTGCTTTTGCAGGGCCTCCCTCCTCTTTCTTTTTCGTAGTTGCCTTCTGCCTCTCCATTCCATGGATCAGACTCATATTTTGGCCTGGAACTGTCGAGGTCTTGGAGAAACTTTTGCGATTTCAGAGTTGAAAAAACTCTATTTCCAACATAAACCCAACATCATCTTCCTCTCTGAAACAAAGCGCACAGCGATGGAGATGACTTCGATTCGCCCAGATCTAGGTTTTGATCAGTGTTTTGCTGTTGATTGTGTAGGAAGGGGGGGCAGCCTCGCTATGCTCTGGTGTGACGATTTTAACCTAACTATTTCCACTTTCTCCCAATCTCACATAGATGTGGAAATTGTTGATCCGGGTGGGGGTGAATGGAGACTCACAGGGTTCTATGGACGTCCAGAGGCTGCCTGAAGAAAGGAATCATGGACCCTGTTAACATCACTCAAGGCTATCTCTTCTCAACCGTGGCTGCGCTTAGGTGATTTCAATGAAATTCTGCGGCAATCGGAAAAGGCAAGAGGGAACCATCGACCATCTAAACAAATGGAAGTCTTTGCAGAGGCTTTAAACTTCTGCAACTTTAAAGAAATGGGTTTCAAGGGTCCTCAATTTACTTTTATAAGGAAGATGCATGACAATATCATTAAGGAAAGACTAGACAGAGTTTTGATGAATTTGAGGTGGTCGGGGATGTTTCTTGGGGCTTTCTCCCATCATTTGCTGGCATTGAAATCGGATCATGCTCTAATTCTGGTGATAGCAACAAAAACGATGAATGGTTTTCGACATAAAAGAACTAAGCTATTTCGATTTGAGAACTATGGGACCAAGGAACCCGACTGTGAGGGAAAAATTAAGGATGGCTGGAAGACTGGAGAAGGAGACACAAACATGTCCCGAGTGTTGTCTAAAATTGCTTCATGTGGTTCCCTCCTTATGGACTAGAGCCAACACAAATTCGACAATATACCTAAGAGAATTAAATTGTTGCAAAATGAACTCTTGAGTGTTCGAAATGGTACAGCACAAGACAACAGCTTAGGAAGGATGGAAGCATTAGAACAGGAACTCAATGATTGGCAGCGACGGGAAGAGGTTTTATGGAAGCAACGCTCAAGGGTACAATGGTTAAAAAAGGGTGACAAAAATACTGCTTTTTTCCATAACAGAGTTTCGGTCAGGCGCAAAAAGAATCACATTGCTGGACTTCTCGATGACAGGGGCTCTCTTGTAACAGATAAAACAGGGGTAGAAGGACTCTGCATTAAGTATTTCAGAGATGTATTCACTTCTAAATACACTGGTCCGAATCGCAACATCCTAAGCGCATTACAGGGGAGAGTCCCGCCTTCGATGGCAATTAACCTTGATAGAGACTTTACTAGTTCTGAAGTTCTTATTGCCTTGAAACAAATCCATTCTTCAAAGGCCCCAGGACCTGATGGGATGAATGTCAGTTTTTATAAAAATTATTGGCATATTATAGGAGGGGATATCATATCGGCTGCACTGGACTTCCTTAATAATGGGCTTATGGTGAGAGATGTGAACCTTACTCATATTGTTTTGATCCCAAAAGTTAAAAGTCCCTCTTCTATGAAGGATTTTCGACCCATAAGTCTTTGCAATGTGCTGTACAAAATTATATCCAAAGTCTTAACCAATAGGCTTAAATCGATCCTACCGCATATTATATCAAATAATCAGAGTGCTTTTGTTCCTGGGAGATTAATTTATGACAATATTATGGTAGCCTTTGAAGCTATCCATCATCTGAAAAATAAAAGGATTGGCCGGAGAGGGCATATGGCTGTCAAACTTGATCTTAGCAAGGCTTTCGATAGAGTAGAATGGAATTTCTTAGAGGACACTATGCGAGCAATGGGTTTTCCTGAGCGGTGGATTAACCGTGTCATGATGTGTGTTCGCATTGTGGAATACTCCATCTTGATCAATGGGTGTCCAACAAAGAAATTCACTCCAAGCAGGGGTATAAGGCAATGAGATCCCCTTTCCCCTTTCCCCTTTCCTTTTTCTCTTATGTGCTAAAGGTTTATCAGCTCTATTATCAAAGGCTATCAGTAGAGGGGATTTAAAGGGATTGACTTTGTGCCGAGGATGCCCTTGTCTATCGCATTTGTTTTTTGCATATGACAGTTTGTTGTTTGGACAAGCGTCTGTCCAAGAAGCTGCAAAGCTGTTGGATATCTTGAAGGAATATGAGGGGGTTTCTGGGCAACAAATTAATCTTGACAAGTCATCTATTTTTTTCAACAGTAATACTTCCAATGCTATGCAACAGGGGGTGATGCAAGCTTTGAATATATCCAAAGTCATTGCAGATGATAAGTATCTTAGACTCCCCTCAATTATAGGGCGAAAGAAAGCTATCTGTTTTGATTCTATCCGAGAGAGAGTTTGGTCAAAAATCAAAGGATGGAAAACAAAATTGTTATCTCATGCCGGATGAGAAATTCTGATTAAAGCAATTGTGCAAGCTATTCCTACATACTGCATGAGTTGTCTTAAGTTTTCGCAAAATTTTCTTTAGTCCTTAAATAGCATCATCAACAACTTTTGGTGGGGAGATAACACTAATAGAAGACGAATCCATTGGTTACGGTGGGATCTCGTGTGTAAACCTAAGCGATTTGGAGGACTAGGCTTCAAGGATTTTAGAGCTTTCAATTTAGCTATGTTGGCAAAGCAGAGCTGGCGTTTGATGCAGGATAGGACCACCTTATGCTATCAAATTCTCAAAGCTAAATACTTTCCCAATGGAGATTTATTGGGAGCTTCTGTAGGAGCTAACACTTCTATGGTCTGGCAAGGGGTTGTTGATGGCCTTGGTATTCTTAAATTGGGCTCAACTTGGCAAATAGGCACTGGACAGAACGTTAGACTCTAGAGAGACAACTGATTAAATTTTTTATTTATAAATTTATTTTAATTTATTAAATAATAAATAATTATTATTTTATAAATTATGAATTATTTTTAATAATTAAATTAAATTAAAAATTTTATAATTTTAATGACTCAATGGATAACATAGTTAGAGTTCCTGGCTAAAACAAAGGGAGGACAGCTGTAATTGCTCGTTAAATACCAATTATATCCCTCAAAAACCATGCTCAAGAATTTTTTTTTTAACAAATTACAATTATTTACCTGTGTTAATTAAAAAATAAAAAAAATTATAAGGTTTGAATACGTAATTCAAAAAAAATAAATAAATGACCCTAAATCAAGATTCATGTAAGTGGTGAAAGCAAGCCATTCACCATGCTCAGTGATTTAAAAGCAAAACAACGTAAAGTTGTCGTAAGAAGTCCAGAAAAATTGCTGAACATGACAAAAATGTCATTCTGTCACAAAGCCCGCACCAGTCACTGTAGCAAATGGGAGCTGTTTCTTCCAGTAAAAGATAATACCAGACCGCCTATTACTTCTTTAGAAAATGAGCAGCGTAAGGGCACTCGCCTCCTGCACTCTCTAGCCAACACATGCTTTTTTTATTGAGCCACGTAAGTTTGCTTCCGCTTTGAAATGATTACCTCTCCCACGAACATAACGTGGCCCAATGACAATGGAAGTGTTGGATGGAGAGTGCAATTGGCGAGTGTTCTTAGCATTGCTCTTAGAAAATAACAAAAATATCAGCCTCTCACAAAGACCCTGATTACTGCAGTAATTGTGAGATGGGAACTCTTTCTCCTATGGGCTGTTCAGTTGTCCACTTGCAAGCCGAAATTGTTGTTGGCTTAATCAATGATATGTAGTTTTTTTTTTTTTTTTGGGAAGTGAATAGAAGGAATTACAAATTGAGGTAATTGATTAAAAAGGTTAGATCCATTTCCCAATTAAAAGTATAAAAAGATTTAGTTTTTGAGATCCATAATCAATTATCTTTAATTATAAATTATTATAATCCTTATAATCACTTCTTTTTTTTTTTTGTATAATCATTTAAAAATTTGCATTGATATTTGTATTAGGATTTGCAAAATCGTAAGCTAAGCCACATTTTGTTCTAGTAACGACTGCCCCAAAAATGCCTTTTGGGGCAGGGACAGACGATGAACAAGAACTTAGGGGGGTCAAATTTATTTTTTCTATTATATACAAATAAAATAATGATCCAGGGAATGATTCTTGTGAGACAAAATTAGAGAACTACTTACGTGACCTGCCACTTATATAGACACCAAATATACTTGCCAGGTAGACTAAATTAAATGATTGATTTGGATTTTTATTAAAAAAAGGTAAAATTTTTAATTTATCAATATCAATTTCTCTTCTGTCTTCCTCTTCTTCAATTTGGTTAGTCCTCCTTTTCATTGTCTTTGATTTGGGAGGTGAGGATTTAGTTATTCGTCTAAATTACAATATTTATTACATATGACATAAATTTTTAATAACATTAACTTCTAAAATATTTGACAAAGATTTATTGTTAAATAATAGTTTATGATAAATTTTCAGTTTTAACTTCATTCTATATGTACTTAAATATTCATATATACTAAATATGAATTCTCTAATACTCAAGTTAATTGTGTGTTAAACTAACCAATAATGAAAAAAATTAAGCTAAATATTCCTATCAAAATTGTATATAGCCGAAATCATGCACTAATTTTTGAAGCACTAATTAATAATACATGGGTAACGAGTTCAAAGATAGAAATATGTAATACTCAATCAAAATTTGGTTTGTTATTCTTCATGTTAATTAACTATATTTTGATCTATATCAAAGACGATCATTAGAAATTAAAACTTGCAAAACAAATTCTACAAATTTACATAGATGTAATCATAAACTTTGCAAAACAAATGCCAATTAAAATTTTTTCTCTGCTTTAGAAGACAAAATCAAATTAATAAATTTTTGGCACTTTATAGTCCAATTAAAAGTAAGAAAACAAAAAGAAGTAAATAAATAAAATTAATATGAGAGAAGAACCTATCAGTCTTGTTTAAAAAAAAAATAATAAAGTTTCAATTTTAAATAATTTTGTTTTATTTAATTAAAATTTAATTTAAAATTTAAAATTTATC